AGCTTCTTTGTATCCCCGACGTATATGTATTGGTCGCTACTCGAAAAAATATACATACAAAGCTTCATCTACACAGTTACATCCTCGTGTTTGAATTGTTAAACCGTCAATATTAGCCAGTAAAATTTTGAAATGGAAGAAGAATTTCATTATTGTACTCATTTCTTCTATATTGTGAACACTGCTATGAATCAAGTCTCAATGAGACTGTTTAGTTTATAATTTGGTATAGACTACAACTAAAAGTAGTCTCAAAACGCTTCATTTGGTGCATCAAAATCATCCTTGGTGTGCTTGGTAAGAGCTTGCTTTGTCCAGCGTTTGAGGTCATAGGCTTTTTTGAATGGTTTCCTGTCCTTGATAAGTCTTTTCTTTGTGATAGCAATGGCCAGGTCATTGGGGAACAAAGTCTTCCAAACAAAAGCATGAAGGAGAGTGGAGACAAAGAGAAGAGACACCATAGTCGAGGACATGAAAGAAAGGGTGAGTGCCAGACCTTTACTTACAATTGTAGGGACATGCTCTGCATACTTTATGGTTGCCACAGAAGCTGTTGTCATTGGAAATGTGTAAGACCACCAAGCTAATGAAAACCTGCAAAAATTCACATGTTTCAGGTATCATAATAATTATTGTTGTCATTCATCTCCCTGTTCAAATTTTCAATCACTGATGTTGTTGTGATCCTAGGCAGTTTCTTGGGTTTGATGCATGCTGGTTTCTTAATAGGGGAAAAATACAAAAAGTTGATTCTATGAATATGCCATTTTCATTTCTCGGTATTAGTCTAATTTTTAAACTTTAATTTCATGTCTAGCACGTTTTGATTTTGTATTTAATAAGTGTACAATACGAATGAATTTGTGCCTCATAGATTCATTGACTTTTTGTTTCGTATCTAATAAATTTTGAATCGTAATAAATGTAAAATGATTTATTAGTTATAAAATTAAAAAAATGGATTTGTTAGATGTTCTAAAATTTACAAACTAGTTGATGCCAAGATGGACTCATGAACGTCTAGAGATTAAAATTTTTAATTGGTGTGGATTCTATAAATGTTTCTTTTTATCATAGAGAAATATTTGTAGTGAAATTATTCAATGTGTCGTATTGTCAGATCCAACATCGGTTGGGAAGGAGAATGAAACACTCTTTATAAGGGTGTAGAAACTTTTTCCTAGCAGACGCGTTTTAAAAACTTTGAGAGGAAGCCCGAAAGGGAAAACTCAGAGAGGACAATATTTGTTAGCGGTGGGCTTTAGCCTTACAAATTGTATCAGAGCCAGACACCGGATGATGTATCAGGGAGGAGGTTGTTCCCCAAAGGGGGTAGACACTAGGCAGTGTGTCAATAAGGATGTTGGGCCCCGAAATGGGTGAATTTGGTAGGGGTCTCACATCGATTGAAGAAAGGAATGAGTGCCAACGAGGACACTAGGCCCTAAAAGGGGTGGATTATGAGATCTTACATCAGGGAGTAGAACGAAACACCCTTTATAAGGGTGTGGAAACCTTTCCCTAGCAGACACGTTTTAAAAACTTTGAGAGAAAACTCGAAAGGGAAAGCCCAGGGAGAACAATATCTGCTAGCGATGGACTTGGGCTTGGGCCATTACACATATCAATGAAGAACGACTGTGGATTCAATTAAAGTGAAAATAACAATCATTTTGAAGGGGGAAAGAAGAACATGACTGACCTGAATCCAGTGAAGAAGGTGATCCTTACAACAAGGGAAATGTAGAGAAACAAAGCAATGAAGAAGCAAGTTCTTGACAAGCCATCGAATTCGCCATAAATGGTCTGCCAAGCGATGCTGGCCGCAGAAGGGGCAGCTATGAACATGGAGTACACAGGGTGCAGCTCCTTCGGCAGCGCCTCACTCGTCGGCAGCCTCTGATACAGTGTCACAAACACCACTAGATAGTGTGCAAACCCCACTGACCATAAGAACTTTGCTGCCTCCAACCACCCACATTTCGCCGCCAGTATCGCTCCGACGAAGTTCCCGACCACCGACAAATGTGTCGATGGATTCACTACCTGAAATATGAATAAAAGATTAAATATATCTTCGACTAGAAAGGTTCTTTTCCTGATCTAAATCGGGACTTAGATATACATAATCAATAAACTTAAGAATTTCGAATTTAGTGATAGTTTAACACACCTTACATAGACGCCGCTTTCCCCCAGACAACCATTGCCCGTAAATCTTGAGCTCGAGCAAAAAGTAGGGACCCATGAAGGCACACCAAACAGCCGGGTGGAGTGGCTCCGACACGAACCGCGGCGGGGCACCGATGGCAAGGAACATAAAGACAACCCAAGGAGCAAAGAAGAAATTAACACGAATAGGGTGGAAGTACTCTCTCTTAACAGCTTCAAAGTAGAAGATGCACTTGAGAATGTAAGCCACAAATACAGAACAAACAGCAGCTGTGGCTAAGAGCCAAATGGCGATGTTGATAAATGGGGAAACATGAAGGAACTTTGTGGCAGGGCTGGTCGCCAGCGCCCGCCATAGCACGGCCTGGCTGCTGAGCCCGAGACAGATCCCGAAGCATCCAATCGGAAATCGGAGAAGAAATGGCCATTTCTCGTCTTTCGGGAGAAGAATGTCTTCATAATCCTACACGAAAAATGACATTACAAACGTTCAAACATTAAATTTTGTACGTAAACGAATGATTATGATTATGATTATACGATACCTTGACTTGATCAAGTTCAGGTCCTCTAAGAGCAGCATAGTATCTTCCAACAGGAACACTTTTATTCAAAGATTCATCCATTCCTTCAGAGCTTCCATAAGTTCTTTGAGACTCCATTTGATTATCTCTATGATCTTTCCTCAATGGCAATAGAGAATTTTGTTTACTTAGAGTTGACTTCGTTCTAAAAATACTAAAATCCGCTTTCTTCCCTTCAATATTATTATAATCAAACCCTCCGAAACTTCTTCCGCTCCTCGGAAGAGCCATTCGATCGATACCCTTCCCTTTAGAATTTTGATTCAAACCTGTTTCCAACGACATTTGTCGACCGAAACTCCGTGTGGGTGGTGGTGGTAGCGATGGTCGTAATCGATTGTTCTGTTTCTTATGTCGCTTCTCGATGGTATCGGCCAATGTAGATGTCGCTTTTGGCCGAACATGTTCTTCTTTTTCTTCGTTCTCCTCCTCCTCCTCACAAACTACTTCGTTGACGCCAACCAAATTAGGGTTTGCATGAAACATGGAAGGCGGGGTTTGTTTTGTGTCCATTTTCTCTGTTGGTTGGTTTCTTGAGGCTATTGAAGATCATATTATATTGTTCTTTATGTTGGTTTGAATGTTCATGAGGTTCTTCTTATTGCTCACGAGAGTTTGGTAAAAGTAGGGTTTGCTTTTAGGTGGAGGATTGATATCTTAAATCAAATTGAGACCAATACTTTGGTGAAGGCTTGCAAGGGATATCTCGTGAGACGACGCTCATTGATTCCTAGGAAAGGTTCGTGGCTATAATTTCACAGTTCTAGTAGGTCGGTTCAAGTTAAGACTTAAAAGAAAGATTTCGAACTTTTTCCTTTCATTTTAAAAATATCCCATTATTATTATTGATCTTTTATAAAAGTTGCAATCGTTTCAGGTAGAAATTTGTTAAAATTTTGATGTATAGAAAAAATTATTAGAGAATCGTATTTACTTTTATCGTAATAATATTCAAATAATTTATGTATTAATATAATATAAAATTTATATAATATTTGGCTTTATTCATTCAATATATTATTCCTGTACATTCCATTTGTGCTAATAATATTATTATTTTTTTCTTCTTAATATTAGATTTTAATTGAAAATCTAATATTTGTAACCAGCTTGATATCAGCCGTTAGATTAAAATAATATTTTCTATTTTTATACAAAAGATTTTTTTTTTCCATTTTTGTTTAACCATTAATATGTTGTTTTTTTTTTAAAATCATATAATAAAAAAATAAATTTAGTAATAAGTTAATAAATGAAATATCTATAAACGATTTTAACGATTACTATAAAAGACTAATTAGAACGTTAATCCATTGAAAAATTTTGTTAATTATTTTGATTTCTAATATTTAGATGTAAAGTATTTCTTGTAAGAGTTAAAAAAAAAAACAAAAATTGCAGAAATAGAGATGATTTATTATTATTTGATAAATTGTTAAAAACTGCAGTTAAGATGTTCTAATATTATTTTATTTTCAACTGCTGAAGAGATAAAAAAGAGAGAGGATATCATGGATTATTTCAGAGTCTCGAGATTGGACAACGCTTGAATATGATGTTCTTAGTGTGATTCTCAACAAGATGGTGTCTCTCTACGATTATCTCCAATTCAGTCTCGTATGTAAGTCTTGGTATTTTGTTGCATTACGACACAAACACCAATGATCCATAATTACTTCCAAGTTCCCTCAACTACCCATGCTCATCGTTCCCTCGAAAGATGGTCTTAAAAAGCAATATTGCTTATACAACCTCACAAAAAAATAGAACTCATCCCGTTGACTTCAAGTTTTGTTTCAACAAAAGGTGTTGTGGTTTCTCTTTTGGTTGGTTGATCATGTGTGAAGAGACACTCGATCTTATTTTATTCGACCCTTTTTCTGGGACTGTGATTTGTCTTCCTTCCATTATCATAGATAATGAACCTAATTATAATCCAGACCGCGTAGTTAAAGCTATATTAACCAAAGATCCATCATTATATCCAAACGATTATATGGTTGTAGCTATCTATAGTTCATATTCAAGGTTATGCCTTATGAGAGTAAATGATAAGAGTTGGACGTATTCATATCTAGAACCAAATATTCCTTTTAAGGATATTACTGTTTATAGTGATACTTTATATGCTACGGAAAATAATATGATGATTTGGAAAGTTGAAGTTAAGAATAGAGATGATGAAAGTTCTATCACTTTCTATTTCTTTAAATATGGTCCACGCTAAAAGAACTAATGATTTCGCTATATCCTATATTACAGAGTCTTTCAAATGAGAGCTTTGGTTAGTTTTGAGGTCAATATCTGAAAAGGAATTACAATGAGAGACTACTAAGTTTAAAGTCTACAAACTTATTGATGAGCGTGAAAATGGCATGCGAAGGGCCGTAAAGGTGAAGAGTTTAGATGGTGATGCTATGTTTATTGGAGACTCTCAATCCATTTGTGTATCAACCAAGGATTTTCCTAAATGTTTACCAAATCCGATATATTTTATCAATGGTTGTAACAATTATATTCCTAATTTAGTCTAGGATTCATGTATATTCAACATAGAAGATAAAAGATTTGGGAAACATTACATACGAGATCGTGCACACTGGAACTTACCTCAACCCATTTGGATCCTCCCAATCGTATGTTTGAAAGATTTTGATAATTAAGATTCCTATTTATTTGTGTTAGGATATGTTTTATTTTATTTTATTTCTCTTTAGCTGTATTATCCATGGTAATGTAAAACATAAAATATTATGATTTAGAAATTTTGTTGATATGTCGTGTGCATTTAATATACTAATTTAATAGTTTAATTTAATATTTATTCTTAAATATTTTCGACCTACATGTCACTTATAGATATCAAATTTGTTTGTTATAAATATAGATATTTATCAATTTTATCTTTATAGATTTCTACTCGGGCAAATTTATACTTTTGGAGAAAAAAAAATTTTGATTCTAAAAAAATCCATCAAGTCCTCTCTTTAAAATATATATATGTATGTATAATAAACTTATTTTTAAACTTTAAAATGTATGTAATATATTTCTAAATAATTAATTTTAAATATAATAGGTCTTAAATTTTAAAAATATCAATTTAACCTTTTAACGAGAGGTAGATGAATAAACAGAATCATATACAAATGAGAGCGATCTTGAAGATGAGATGAATAAGAAAAGTTTAAAAAAATTTAAAATGTATTTTACTTATTATAAAATATATGATTCAGATAATATGGAAAGTTGGCCCAACCAAAGTAGAAGTCAGGTGGCCCAAAGATGAAGCCCAAGTTCATATGAAAACTCAGCCCACCCCAGAGTCGAAGTCAAGTGGTCCAAATCTGAAGCCCAAGTTCATATGGAAACTCAGGCCCAACCAAAAGAAAAGGTCAAGTGGCTCAAAGCTGAAGCCCAATAGTCAGGCCCAATTCGAAGTAGAAGTCAGGTGGCCCAAAACTGAAGCCCAAGCTTATATGGAAATCAGTCCCAGCCCAAACTTATATGGATAGTCAGGCCCAATCCGAAGTAGAATAAACATCCATTTTCTCCCTAATCCAAACATTCCATTCTCTGATATTAATTTATTAGAATTGAGCATGAAAAAGGAATTATTAACTAAAAAAAATATGGACGCACGGAAGGAGACTCCTTATTCTCACATACATTTTGGAGAAGCTGAAGTATGTGAAGTATGTGAAGAAGATAGCATACCGGTAGCCATAGAAACTGAGAAGGCATTTGTTGAAAAAAAAGAACCCTAATGTTAAGTATATGACCGTATGTCTACCATCGTCAAGGCGTTCGGCGTTCGGCGTTCGGCGTTCTATAGGATCTGATTGGAAAACCGGTGGCTGCGAACGCCGCACAGCGGCGTGGAATGTAGACGGCCACCGAAGCTGAGATCGAGAATTTCTCTCTGTGGCATGTTTTAGAGAGAGAAAGGAAGGAAGACGATTGATGGAGATGGGGAGCGCAAGGGTTTTTGGGGAGCGTAAGGGTTTTTGGGGAGGGGTGTGATCGACGGTGCTTGTTTAGATCTGAAACGAGCTTGAATATCGGCCGTTGGATTAGGTTAAAAAAATTTCTTTTTTTTACAAATATATGTAATATATTTTACGTTTCTGTAAAAAGATTTTTCTTTCCTTCTTTGTTTTTTTTTTTTTCAAAAATTCTATATTTGTGGCTTCAAATAATTTTCTATTTCTGTCTTAAAGATTTTTTTCTTTTTCTATATTTATTTTTACAAATATTATATATGTGTTGATTTTCCATTTTTGTTATTTAGAGAATAAAATAATTTCCTAAATTTCATCTCTCTTTAAAAGCTATAAAAATTACCTCACATTACAACACACAACTATTCAAGGACTCACTCATCCAAAGGTCACTCAAAGGTATGCACCTCTCTTTCCTTTTCCTTTTTTATGGTTATATATTTTATTTTATTATACTTTTTTTCTGATTGTATTTTATATATTTTTTTTCTTGCTTAAAATATTTGCATAGTATAAATATAAGGTTTATTAGTGTTAGTCCTCCTCCTTTTTTCTTGTCTTATTTGGTAGGGTTAGAATTTTTTTATTATTTTAACGAGTTTAATTTAAAATATTTTTTACTTTTTATTTTTTAAAAACAGATGAAAGCATGATTAAGTTCTTGTATTTTGAATTTTTATTTATTTTTTCTAATTTTTTTCATTATTAATAATTTATTTTATGAAATAGTATAATACGTTTTCTATTTATTTAAAAATAATAAAATAAAACAATCCGATTTAGTAATTGTTAATAAATAGAAGTATTTTGTATTTATGTAAAGAGAGAAAAAACTATTTTTTTATAATAAAAAAATAGATATAAATGTTCAGAAATTTAATTGCTTAAATTAATTTTTTTTTTCTGGTCCGTAAAGATATTTTAGAAAGTAGTAAAAATGTTCTAATATTATTTTATTTTATGTCTTTGTTCCCTTCTTTTTGTTTAGTCTTTAAGATATTTTATAAAATAGTAAAGATGTTCTAATACTATTTTATTTTCAATTATAGCATCTGTGAAGGATAAAAAAAAAAAAAGAAAAAAAGAGGATATTATGGATTATTCTGAGTCTCGAGATTGGACAACGCTTGAATATGATGTTCTCGGTGTAATTCTCAATAAAATGGTGTCTCTCTATGATTATCTCCAATTCAGCCTCGTATGTAAGTCTTGGTATTTTATTGCATTACGACACGAACATCAACGATCCATAATTACTTCCAAGTTTCCTCAACTACCCATGCTCATCGTGCCCTCGAAAAATGGTCTTGAAAACCAGCATTGCTTATATGACCCCACAAAAAATAGAGTTCGTCGTGTTGACTTCAAATTTTGCTTCAACAAAAGGTGTTGTGGCTCCTCTTTTGGTTGGTTGATCATGTGTGAAGAGACGCTCGATCTTACTTTATTCAACCCTTTTTCTGGGACTTTGATTTGTCTTCCTTCCATTATCATAGATGATGAACCTGATTATACTCCAGACCGCATAGTGAAAGTTATATTAACCAAAGATCCATCATTATATCCAAACGATTATATGGTCGTAGCTATTTATAGTTCATATTCAAGGTTGTGCCTTATGAGAGCAAATGATAAAAGTTGGACATATTACTATCCAGAACCAAATATTCCCTTCAAGGATATTAATGTTTGTGGTGATACTTTATATGCTACGGAAAATGATATGATGGTTTGGAAAGTCGAAGTGAAGAATAGAGATGATGAAAGTTCATCGATTTCTATTTCTTTAAAGATGATCCACGATAAAATGATCGATGATTTAAGTAGATCATATATTACAGAGTCTTCCAAAGGAGAGCTTTTGTTAGTGTTGAGGTCAATATCTGTGGAGGAAACACAATTAGAGACTACCAAGTTTAAAGTCTACAAACTCACTCATGAGCGTGAAAATGGTATGCGAAGGGCAGTAAAGGTGAAGAGTTTAGATGGGGATACTATGTTTATCGGAGACTCTCAATCCATTTGTGTATCAACTAAGGATTTTCCTAAATGTTTACCCAATTGTATATATTTTATCAATGGTTGCTACAATTATATTCCTAATTTAGAACAAGATTCAGGTGTATTCAACATAGAAGATAAAAGATTTGGGAACCATTACATACGAGATCCTGCACACAAGAATTTACCTCAACCTATTTGGATCATCCCAACAATATGTTTGAAAGATTTTGAAGATTAAGATTCATATTTATTTGTATTAGGATATTTTATTTATTTATTATTATTATTTCTCTTTAATTCTATTATTCATTGTAATTTAAGACCGATAATATTCTAATATAGAAATTTTGTTGATACTCTTTATTGCATTTAATACACTAGTTTATTAATTTTATTTAATATTTATTCTGGAAAGTTTTAATCTAAACATATTTGAGTGATTGTGTTTGTAATAATATTTTTTAATTATATTATTTGATTTTTTTTTTTCTGAAAATATTTGATTCCAAAAAGATTCCCAAATTCCTCTCCCTAAATAACTAATTTTAAATATAATAGCTCCAAAATTTAAAAAATATGGATTTATCAACCGATTAGATGAATAATAAGGAAAGTCGGATAAAATTGGATGAACGTCCAAAAGCAACTACTTACTCATCAAGCAACCTAAACCCCAAGCTAATAAGGAAAGTCAGGCCCATTCCAGGAGTCAGGTGGCCCAAATATGAAGCCCAAGCTTATATGGAAACTCAGGCCCAACCCAAAGTGGATGTTAGGCTCCGGCCGTTACTGAAGCAGAAGCTCAGGCTCGACCCAAAACCGAAGCCCAAGCCCAAACTTAAACTGATGCTCCAGCCTAACTTTAAGCCCAAACCCGATCCGAATCAGCAAATTCATACTGGATTTTTTTTTTTGTTAAACCCGGTCTATAACATGGGCGACCCGGCCTGGTGTTTGATGGGAATCAGGTGGGCAGAGAGTGACGAAAGCATGAATAACTTCTTGTATTTTGAATATATAAATAGTTTTATTTATTTTTTCTAATATTTTTTTTTTCATTATTATCAATTTATTTTATGAAATAGTATAATACGTTTTCTATTTATTTAAAAATAATAAAATAAAACGAACAGATTTTGTAATTATTAATAAATGAAGTATTGATTTCTATGTACAAGTATTTTGTATTTATGTACAGAGAAAAAACTATTTTTTATAATAAAAAAATAGATATAAATGTTTAGAAATTTAATTGCTTGAAATTAATGGTCTTTTTTGTGTCAAATTGTTCTGAAGGAGAGTTTATTTATATATGTTTAGTCTGTAGAGATATTTTAGAAAGTTTATTTATATATATTTAGTCTGTTGAGATATTTTAGAAAGTTTATTTATATATATTTAGTTTGTAAAGATATTTTGAGATTAATTGTCTTTTTGTGACAAATTGTATTTTAATTGCTTGATGTAAAGTTTTTTTTTTTCCTTAGTAAAGATATTTTAGAAAGTAGTAAAGATATTCTAATACTATTTTATTTTCAACTATAGCATTTGTGAAGGGATAAAAAAGATATATATTATGGATTATTCAGAGTCACGAGATTGGACAACGCTTGAATATGATGTTCTTGGTGTGATTCTCAATAAGATGGTGTCTCTCTACGATTATCTCCAATTCAGTCTTGTATGTAAGTCTTGGTATTTTATTGCATTACGTCACAAACACCAACGATCCATAATTACTTCCAAGTTTCCAAAACTACCCATGCTCATCGTTCCCTCGAAAAATGGTCTTGAAAAGCTCCATTGCTTCTACGACCCCACAAAAAATAGAACTTGTCTTGTTGACTTCAAATTTTGCTTCATGTGTGAAGAGACACTCGATCTTACTTTATCCAACTCTTTTTCTAGGACTGTGATTTATCTTCTTTCGATTATTATAGATGATGAGCCTGATTATAATCCAGACCGCGTAGTTAAAGCTATATTAACCAAAGATCCTTCATTATATCCAAACAATTATGTGGTTGTAGCTATCTATAGTTCATATTCGAGGTTGTGCCTTATGAGAGCAAATGATAAGAGTTGGACGTATTACTACCCAGAACCAAATATTCCTTTTATGGATATTAATGTTTGTAGTGATACTTTATTACTACAAAAAATGATATGGCGGCTTAGAAAGTTGAAGTTAAAAATAGAGATGATGAAAATTTATCGATTTCTATTTCTGTTAAAATTTTTGTTGATACTCTCGTCTGCATTCAATATATTAGTTTAATAGTTAATTTTTATTATTAAGAAATAAAGATTATATATTTTCGACCTACATGCCACTTATAAATATCAAAATTGTCTATCAATACAACAATAGTTTATGAATTTTATATAGTGTCATAATATAAAATTATATATTAGCTACATATTATAGAAATAATATAGTAATGATATGCGGAGTAAATATAGAAAAAAAATATGTTAATTTGAATGTGTTTATCGGTGTTCTTTTTATTTTTTATTTTCTTAAAATATTTGATTGTAAAAAAATTCCATCAATTCTTTGAAAATATAAATATATATATTTCCAATTTGAGGGTCTAAGATTGTACCAACTATTTTAGCAGCAAATTCATTTTGGCATTCAGTTGGCAAGATATTTGACAACCTCACTACCAAGTCACTACATCAAAACTAGCCTAATCTTTATTGAATTTATGGATTATGGAGCATTTTATTACTTACCAAACAAAATTATTACTTTTATACACGGTACCAGTTTGTTTGTGAAATTTTATTTCAATTTTAAATACACAACAACATTGCAGGGGATAAGATTTTATTTACATGGAAATTATAAAAAAAGAAAAAAAAAATGAAAGTTGAATATTCAAATTCCATATAACTGTTTAATTTTCCTGGTATTTTTTCTGGGCCGATGTTCGAGAAGGCTCATTCGTTAGGCCCACACATAAGAGCTTCCATCACCTTCAGTCTTGTTGGGCTCGAGTTTCCTTTTGGGCTATAAGTTCCCTTTTGGGCTTGGACTAGGCTGATTAGGCCCAGTTTTAAATTTAGATTCACTTGGGCCTTGCTTCGCTACTCCCAGACCTGTCAAACCTTAGAGTTCATTGAACCGTAGAGGTATAAATCTAAACCAGTTAAATATATGAGTAAACCAGTTGAACTATGTATATGACTAAACAAGTTTGAAGGGAGCTAGTTTTTGTAACGGGATCAAATTTATAATTCTAGAAAATGAAAAGCAGGAATAAAATCTTGAACTTTATATATATATATATATATATATATATATATATGCAGCTTACAAGCTACAGCAGGTCCAAAAGGGAGGGGGAATACACTCCTAATGCCCACTCCAATCTACAAGAATACAAAGAAGAACAGATTAGATCAATAAACTTCCTTTTTCTCTTCCAATCCTATAACTTTCATAGATTTATCTCCTAATGTCCACTCCACCCAACTCAAAAAAATAATGACCTATACCAATTTCCATAACCCTGATATCTGTTTTTTTGGCTATGAAAATATGATGACCTATACCATATTCCATCTTCCATCTAGCACCTGTTTTTGGGCCATGAAGACATAATGAGCCATACCATTTTCCACAACACTGCCACCTGTTTTTTTGGGCTAAGAGGTAGCAACGAAGATATAAAGTATATTTCCTGAATCAGTTTAGGAAAGACCTTTGACTATGGTATTCTAAAACCAGGCAAATGGTAGTAAACTCAGTCCACATCAACCCTCTTCCCAGTTAAAATTCAATTGTGTAGGTTAAATTTTTTTTAGTTTATTCCTACAAAATCTAAATTTATTAATGCTCAGTCCACATCTGTGTTTTCCTGCCATTTATTGAGCATGAAAAAGGAATTCATGGCTAAAAGATATGGACCTCTCACTCCTTACCCGCAGGAGAAGGATCAGTCATTAAAATTAAAAAACACACATGTATTCTCACATACATTTTGGAGAAGCAGACAAAATCAACAACTTCAAGAAAAAAACTAGCATGTGAAGTATGGTGAGGAAGATAGCTTACCGGTAGCCATAGAAACTGAGAACGCATTTGTTGAGAAACTGAGATTCCATTTCTTGAGAAAGTATATGACCCTATGTCTACCATCGTCAAGTCGTTCGGCGTTCGGTAGGATCTGATTGGAAAATCAGTGGCCCAGATATGAACGCCGCTGTGCGGCCAGGAATGTCGACGGCCTGCCTACAGCGGCCTGGAATGTCGACCGCCTGACTGAGCTCAGAACAAGAATTTCTCTGTTGCATGTTGTAGAGAGAGAAAGAAAGGAAGACGATTGATGGCGATGGGGAGCGTAAGGGTTTTTGGAGAAGGGTGTGATCGACGGTGCTCGTTTAGATCTGTAATAAGCTTGAATATCAGCCGTTAGATTAGGTTAAAAAAATTTATTTTTCTTTTTTCTTACAAATATATGGATATATTTCCGTTTTTGTAAAAAGATTTATTTTTCCTTTTTGGTTTTTTCTTTTACAAATATGGAATATTTGTGCTTTAAATAATTTTCAGATTTTGTTATTTTCCGTTTTTGTAAAAAGATATTTTTTCCTTTTTTTTGTTTTTATTTTTATCGAATATTATATATTTCTTTTTTTATTTTTTTTTTATTTTTACGAATATTATTCCATTTTTGTTATTAGAGAATGAAATAATTTCTTAATTCTCATCTCTCTTTGGAAGCTATAAAAATTACCCCACACTACAGTACAACTATTCTTCCTAAATTTTCAACAAAAACTCTCATTCTCTCTCCACTTACTCACTCAACGACTCGCTCACCCAACGGTATGCACCTCTTTTCTTCTTTTTTTTTTTTTTTTTTTTTTTTTTTTTTTTTTTTTTTTTTTTTT